TTGTTTGTTTGTTTTTTAAACAAGAAAGAGGTGCTGGGGAAGGACCTCTTTCCCAATGACTTCAACTTTGTAGGATAAAGCTCTCCACTCAAGGGCTCAGAAATAAGCCTGTATTTGGTGTCCTGAAAGTTTTTTTAGAATGATGCATCACAGCAGAAAAACAGAAGTGGGTTGCACTTCTTTGCTGGTCACTGTCAAGGTTTTATAACTTGAGCTGTCTTGCATGTTGCCAGAGCCCTACTCAACTCCACTGGGAGCTGTTAATGTTACTATTCAGGTAGCTAAAAAAGATTGGAGGGAGGTCAAAGCTTTCAAGCTACTGCATAGTTCTGGAACTGACCCAGAAGACTAAAGATAAGGTCATGAAATTCTTTCCCTTCCTCCCTGTAAGGTTATCACTTAAACCATTGACTGCTCTGAACTGCACATAGATGGCATGTAGCCTTGTAGAGCTTACTGGTTGCTGCAGGCCTCCAAGTACAGGGAAGCAGGACCCCGAACCCAGCTTGTTGGAGCTTGTTTAAAACAGCCCAGGTTCCAATTCCTAACATTTATTTCTTGAATATAAAAGCAGCAAGAGAACAAGGGAACCTTGTGCCATAGAAGTCTGCATAGACTCATTAACCACATGGAAAGTCTATTCTCTTTTTGAAGCAAATTAATGTTAGTCTGAATCTTGTATTCAGAGCACACTGCTGGCATTATGCCACCAGTTTCGTGACTTTCAAATTGGGGTCACATGCTATCCTGGATTAATTGTTTTAAACTTTACAAAACACCAGGCTACAGCCAGTCTGTTTGCCACTACATTTTTTTTAGTCTCAAGTATGATCTGATATTCAGATTACATAATCAGTACTGCTCCAGTAGTGTACAGCACCAAACAGGAATCCACAGGAGACAACCCCTTCTGCTGCTTGGGTATTGTTTTGCTTTTTGTAGCATGCCTTCATGCAAAACTGCTTTAATTTATTCTGTAAACTGCCAGAATATAAAGCTAGGATTCTGATCACTATAAAAGGGAACGTTTAAACAGGCCACTTACAGAAGGGGGAAGGCAGGAGGGGTCAAGGGAACTCCCCTGTATCCACCCCTCCCCCACTTTGCCATGGATTTGCTGTCTCAACTGCTTTGATCAGGTATTACCATATTTAAATCAGATAAGATGACCCCCAATAGTTTATTTATATAGGTAAATTACTATGGGTATCCATGGACTTCATCAATACAGAATTGATGCAGTTTACTAGTAAGATGTTTTTTAAAACTACTCCAAGTTTTAGCACAGGTGCTACCTAAACACACTTAAGAAGCAGTTTTGCACCTACTTATTATATACAATGATTATGATTATCATCATCATCACCAACGCCAAATGAGTTCCAAATTCAACTGGACAAAGTCAAGTATCCTCCCTCCCAGACCCAATCTGGAGCTTTAGCTACGCCTCAGATAAAGGCAGGTATCCTGCATGCAAGCCCAAAGCCCACAGAACTTGGGGTTCAGATGCTCCCTGTCTTGCCTGATCTTAACCAAAAGACCAAGAGTATACTACAAACTGTATGTGGTCCAAAGCCAAAAGGCTCATGATTTAGCATATAGTTTATAGGGCTGGGCTCCAGGAAGGTCTACAGCATTTCAGACCATGGTGATGCTACAGCTCAGATTATACCACCCCTCCCCACACTTGCGTAAAGCAGAGGATTCATGCGCTAATTAGCCTACCACTCATGACTGGAATCAGGTGTTCTTCTCACCTGGGATCCTCCAAAACTTTATATGCAGATGAGGAATAAGACTACCTGGTCTTGTTCCACCTCAGAGGCCAGGGACACACCAAGCACATACAATAAGCTAAGACAGGAGGTGACAGGGATTCTGGGTAAGCTGTTTGAAGGCCCTGTTTGGTGATGTTTGCCAGATATTAAAACATAATTAAAAAGCAGGACTTGCTGGAAATGGGGCAAAAGTTCAGCTGTGAGAGAGTGAAGAGGAAGTCAAAATGGATTCAATGTTGTGACTCACTACGACTTTAGAGAATCAGCACTGAGTGGGAATTCATGCCATAGCATAAACCTTATCCAGAGGAGCTATACTGCTTTATCTGTGTGGTTACCAGCATCTGTGATCAAGCATTTTTGGTACCAAGGGGAAGGTGTCAAGGCTGGCTCTGGCACTGGTCTGGTATTACAGTACTTCCAGACCCCATACCAGTTCCCTGTGCAGAAGACTATGGGCTTTTGAGGAATGGAGACAGTATCTTCAAGTGTGTCAGTACAGTGCATAGTACAAATCAGACCCCAATCCCAATTGAGGCATTCTTAAGATTCTGGGTTATGCCATAGAATCGATGCAGCAGTGAGGTAGAGGGAAGTAGTTTACTCCTGTATTGCACTTGGTGCTGTAAACTATATTTGTAAGGGGACGGTTAAGGCAAGACCATCTCTGGGCATGCTCAAAAGGCCTCGAAGACCCTATTAGAAAGTGTAAGGATTGGTTAAGCATGGCTCCAAGTAGTCTACTTTCTTACTCTAGTGCTCAACGGGGTAGGCTTGGTGTTGTGTTTTTTTTGCCCCACCTTTTGTGATCAAGTAAAATGAGCAACCTGACATCGTAGCGTGCTTTCAGAGGTTAAAACTACAGTCCAACCTCATTAGCAAATACAGTCCATCACTCCCATTGTGGCAGAGCTGGTTTTTAGCCACATGCCTCCCTTAAGCATACCTAGTTATGGTATGCTTCTAGCTCATGCAATGGTGTGATCTGCTCAGTTTAACAAAGAATGTAAGAGGGTTGAATCCTGCTACAAAGTACTTACAGCTTTCACTCAGTACTGTTTCTAAGCTATGCCACCCTGGTCTTTGCACCAGCAAGCAAATGAAATAAACATTAAGGCCTGGGTTCTCCAGAGAGTCTGATCTTGTGTTTTATGGAGGTTCTGCACAATCCAGTGTCTTTTCCCCAACCAAAAGCAATCTTTCCTTAAACTCCTACACAACATCCTCAAATCTAGTTGCTCAGTAACTCCAGCTCTCCTTTTAAGTAGGTCCCCAACTAGCCCCACCTCCCCTCCCTTCTCTGCATCTGGGTTTGACACACACACACACACAGTCAGCAAAACTGAAGCAAGAACATGCTGACTTGTTCACTGCTTCACTAATTGTCTTGCAACTTCTGGCACTTAACCTCTCGACTGATTTAACTGACCACATTCACAGCTTCCTACCAGGCTTACTTTTATATAGTGACACTCACCTGATGGCATAGATCTATATTTCAGCAAGTCTTGGAGCAAAATACAAAAACAAACAAACCAAAAAAACATTCAGTATACCATCTTACCAAGTATTTGGGGTAAAGGATAACTCTAGGCAGTTGACTAGTAAGCTAGACACCACACTATGGACGATAGAAAACATGGTCAAACAATTATCTTAACATTGCAGGATATACTCATTCTACCCCTACTACCCATCAGTTCAGAAGTCCAGAAAGTGATGCAAAAGGAAGACCATCTGATGTCAGAAAGGAAAAAGCCACAAAAGTCCAGCTCTTGAGAACCATTTATCCAACTTATTGCTAAGGGATAGGCTTTCCTTGCTGGGATCCTTGAATTGGAGAGTTCTGAACCATCAGTCTGTACAAACATTTCTTGTCTATATAACCAGAATTGTATTTCGGTCAAAGCAACTTTCTATGATAGTCTATATTACCCATAGTGTTCAGATGTAACATACAGCTTCCTACTTTAAAAACAAAACAAAGATGACACCACAAACCCCTCTAGATTTACCTGGAGGGTACTCATTCTAGGCTGCTGGAAGCAAGTTACGTTTTAAGATGACGCACAAATCATGCTGGCTCTGGCATCACTGTGCTCCAAGAATTTACACTTTGGATCCAAGTCTTCTCAACTAAAATGGAAAGCTTTTGGTTCAAAGGATCGCTCATTTGCAGAAGATAAGTGAGGCAGTCCCCTGATAATCCTTCCTATACTCAGTTATTCAAAAAGATCTAAAGGGCCCAGCTTTGTGGCTAGGCAGCATTTGTTATGCTGCACAATGACTTCTGCTGCTAGAAAAGCTAGTTTGCTCAAATGGTGAAGGATGTACGCTACAATCTCTAGTTTTGTCAATAACAGGATGCAAGAAGGGGACAGAGTGAACACAGTCCATTTGTTAAGAAAAATATTACTGATTTTTGAACTGCAGACATTCTGCCAGAGTTGACCTTAAATTCTGGTTGTTACGAAGTCCCCGAAAATCCATTCCTGCTTACAATATATGGAGTAGTGTCTTGAAAAAGGCTTAAAAAGCAAGCTTGTTTTCAAAATCTAAATCCTTAGATTAGTGTGCTGAACTTGTTTGATATATTTGAGACTTCAGTTAATGTCCTTTTTGTTGTTTGGTATTTCAGTTAAGAAACTAAGGGGGTGGGGAGGAAGAAGAGAAGCAGGGTATTATAATTCTAGGTGTAAGTACTTCTTATGTTTTTAACATCTGCTTTGGTTTAAACAGACTAATGGTAGTGGATCTTAAATCCAACATTAAGAAGGTAAGTCCAAACAGATGCTAGAAAGCCTGTTAATAGAGGGTAGCATGGTGCTCTTGTTGTGCTGGTTGTCCGTTTCGTGGAGGATTTTAAAGCTAGGCAAAAAAAAAAAAAAAAGGCAGCTTAGAGCATTGTGCACATAGTTCCCTGCCAGTTACTTATTTTCACTGCCAGCAGCCCACATTTTATTCCATTTCTAGAAATGAATGAGTTTGACTGCTTTTGCAAATTCATAACAGAAGAAAGTTTATCTGCTAAAACAAGCAGAAAGAGAAGTGAAAAGAGAATCCAAAGTTGCAAATATACTATTTATAAACACTGTATGTACTAGCACCTCCACTGCTCAATCTTGAGGGCGTAAAGACTGTGATGTGTCAGCTACAGATATTCATGAGTGCTTAGATTAGCTGCATGCAGCTAAAAAAAAAAAAAAGTTTCCACTGGCCTCAAATAGTGGCCACAACGTTCTGGTTTAACTCCACTAACTTGGATTTAAGTTCCAAGCAGATAGCACTGAAACCTGGATGGAGTGCAACTCTAAGTGAACAAAAGCCATTTTTGAAACTATTGGCAATGCATGAGTTTTTTCCCCTTCAAACTAAGCTCATTTTTTAGTAAAGTAGCAGCTGAGGAAACCCAGTCACACACATGACCTTAAGAACCATTATCTGTGTTCTCTTCTAAGAGCCATGGTCTGGTCTAACAGTCTCCAAAGATGTAGGCAGTACTACTACAGCAGTACAGAGCACCTTGAACCAAGTTAAACCAGATGCTTCCCATCACTGTAGTAAGAGACCAGGACAAACATGTGGAAGCCGGATCAGTGACAGCACCATATCCCCCACCCCACAATTCTCACAGGTATTATGCACACTACACCCAAAGCATTTTTAAACTGTTACCAGACTTCATGACTGTATTAAGTGTCTCAAGCATATGAAAATACCACTAGTTTTAACTCCTCAAGCTTACTTCCACTGACATCTATGGATGAATGTTCACTTATGCAAGTGGGATTGGTGTCCAGCCAAAGAACCAATGCTTCACTGTATTTAAGTATGGCCCAGTTATACACATCACTTCCATCAAATAAACTGGAAGTCACTCTATCTTTAAAATAATTAACTGTGTTGCTCTAACAACAGACCCACTAAGACCACAGTGATTCGGCACCGAGCTGTCTTTCTACAGCTCAACTTCATCCTGGTCAACCTGTGCTGCCTCACCAAGCCCTGGCCACAGCAGGTGTTACTACACCTTTTGCCCTGCCCTGCTCCCTTCCCAACAGGGCCCCGAGCTCCGCTCTGAAGGTTTCCGGGGTGATATTTATTGAAGAGCCTCTCCACTCTCTCCCCAGGCGCAGGTTCTCTCCCCCTCCAGCCTCCCTCAGCAGAACTTACTGGTTTCCATGTTTTGCCCGGACACCCGGGGCCGCAGGGCCCGTCTCGGCAACGCGAGGCCTTGCCCAGGAGGCCGCCGGGCCCGGGGCAGCGTCCCCTCAGGCGGCAGCGAGCTGGGCAGGGGCCAGGGCAGGGTGCGCGCATCCCCTTCCCTCCCCACGGGGCACCCGGGGCCTGCGGGACAGCGCCTCCCGCCCCGACCGCTGCCACCAAGGACGTATCAACCCTCCGCGGGGGCCGGGCCGGGCCGCAACATGGCACCCGCCTCCCATCCCTCGCCCCTGCCGAGGAAAACAGCGCGGAGAGGGGAGCAGAGCGGAGCCACCGCCTCAGCTGGGGGCACTCGCCGCCGCAGCACCAGGCCGCGAGCCCGGCCCCCACCTCCTTTTGTCGGGAAGCTGCGCCGAAGCGGCGCACACAAAGGGCCCCAGCCCCGCCCGGCCGGCCCCGCGGAACCCCGGCCCCG